CCTCCTTGATACTGTTGGGTTGAATGGCATTCACCCTTCACGTAAGTTAAGGGAAAAGGTATGCCATGAAAACACGGAGCAGTGGAAGCATAGCCCCACCATTCTTCACTTTGGCACTAGACAGAGACAAGTGGTCAGCTTCACATCCCCGGTCCCATTTACCCCCATTGGAAGAGACCTCAGTATCGATAGGAGGCTGGATGGGTCCCAGGACTGGTGAAAACTCACGCCTACCTGGAACCAAAATTCGAACCTTTGGCTGTCCAGTCCATATAAGTCATTTGTCCAGTATAATCCACTAAATTGCTGCTGGTTTTCACCAGCAACGTTGTTCTTGGTTTCAGGTGCCATCAGGAAATACGGTTGAAGTTTTGTTCTTTGCAAAACCATTCATGTGTTTGGAAATACGCTCTCCTCCTCAATGAGAGGAGGTGTTGGTTTGTTTGAGTAGGCGCCACAATTGCTGCTCCGTAATTTTGCAGTTACCCTCACTCACACATTGTCTGGGTAAGGGCACTTGTACTTCATGGGCACCGTGCACACTTTGTGAATTTACTACACTGAATGGAATTTATGCAAGGTATACACAGAATATCTGTCAGTGCAGGCTTGAGCATCATTTTAGGCCTCGATTTGTTTTCCCACTCCAAAGCAGCTGTTAAATCACATGAAAAAATTAAATTCGCTTAGTGGAGGTTGGAGTCCAACTGGGTCCACTCTGCACGGCGGCCACTTCTGGTCTATTGAAGCCTGCCCCAGGTGATTATGATGATGGAGAATTTGGTGGAATGAAAATTGGCAGGGGAAACCGAAGTACTGGGAGAAAACCTGCCTCAGCGCCACTTTGTCCACCACAATTCCCACTTGACCAGACCTGGGATCGAACCTGGGCCGCCATGGTGGGAAGCCAGCGACTAACCGCTTTAGCTATGGCGCGGCCACATAAGTCACTTGAATGTGCCTACATAAATTTTAGATGTGGATTTTATTACTGGCTTTAGTAATTATGTTATCGAAAATGCATGTGTCTATGCCTAAGGTGTATGTACCGTGTGGACCAGAGGTTCACCACTCAACAGAGAATGTAGTGAAACTGTCGTTTTAGAACTTTTCAAGTTAATGATCTGCATATTCAGTTAAACTCTAATTTCAGAGGATCCATACTAAAATGTAGATTGGACATTAGATTTGTTTTTTTTACGAAGTGGATGTTGGTACACACACCAAAAAGATTGAGAATAGCTGTTCTAAAATGTGGCATAATGAGCCTGTATAAAGAAGTCCGAAATACAGAGTAACCTAAAGTTGCACTAAAATGTGAACTTTAAGTGCTTATAGGCAAATTCAGTGTGACAGCCATCACACTGAAGGCACACTTCGACTTGTTGAGCCAGTTTCTGAACATCCACTGAATATGTAGATTACTGTCTTCTGGGTGTGATATTGTGGGTAGTCTGCCTGAAATGGAGGCAGCAGCTTCCCAAGAATATTCATACCAGTCTCCCCTTGAATATAAGTGGAGCATTGCTTATTGTCATATTTTCATGTTTTGGTTTACTCATTGCATTTGTCATGACCACCAGTAACAGTCTGGTAAGAGCCTTCCATATCCTTTGCAACTTACCATTCACACATATCTCTGCTCAGCTGCAGCTCTGCTGTTAAATGAAGCAAACAACAACATTTTCATTACATGCAGTCAGTGACTTACTGTACACACTTTTATTTTATAAGGGGCAGTCAAATGAAAATGGGTCACCACGCATAACTCACATGACGCGCAACTTAGTAACACTGGAATTTGCTTATGGTACGAACATCTGGTGGGCACTCGGGAAAGCACAGTGACAACGTGCCCTTGCACACTAGTCGTTTGTTTATTGTGCTGGAAGTATGGTTAGTGCTATGTGTCGTCGTCCAACATCAGTAATAGAGGCAGGTAAAGAAGAACACCAAAGTGTAGCGCCCTTTTTGACTGCTGAAGGAGTTGGAGGACTAGAAATTTATAGTCACATGTCTGTTGTTTACGGTGAACACAGCATGCCACGTTTGCTTGTTCTGTCTTGGCATAAGAGATTCTGAGAGGGACATGTGTCACTGCAAGATGATGCTGGCCTAGGACAGGCTCACCATGTCATCACTCCTGATGTTATTGCTGCGTTGGATGGACATATCCAGGCAAACTGACGGATCACTTTGGAAGAAATTAGTCTTTTGATGGGAATAAGTCACGGTTCCGTACATGCTATTGTGACAAATCTGTGTGCGATGTGTTCCACATCAACTCACGGAGGGGCAGAAAACTCGAGAGGATAGCTGGATCACTGGGTCACTTGCAACAATACCATGAGGAAAAGTATGCTTTTCTACCCCGCGTTGCCACTGGGGACAAAACTTGGTGGCACTATTTTGAACCTAAGAGCAAACGGCAGAGCCAACAGTGGAAACACGTGAATTCTCCCCCACCGAAAAAAATCCAAAGCAGTACACACAAGTTCCGGTAAAGTGAAGATGACCTTCTTCAACTGCAAAGGTCCTCTGCTAGTCGATCTTCTCGAGCATGGTACCACAATCAGTGCACAGCCCTATGAAGACACTTTGCAGAAACTGGGACATGCCATAAAGACAAAACGCCCTGGAATGCTATCGAACGGCATTATCCTTCTTGATGATAATGCGCGCCCCCACAGTGCCAACTCTGTGAGGAATACACTACAGAGATTTGGTTGGGAAGTGCTTCAACATCCCCCCTTCAGCCCAGATCTCCCCATGTGATTTTCACGTTTTTGGAGACCAGAAGAGACATTCATGGACATCGGTTTGCAACGGACAAAGATGTGTGTTGCTGGGTGATGATGTGGTTAAGTAGATAGCTCACAAGCTTTTGCAAGGAAGGGATTGACCGTTTTATCTCCCAGTGGGATAAATGTATTAACAGTTCTGGGGATTACTTTTGAGGTTAGAAACGTTCTTTAAAGCCGGGTCCAGACTTGTTGCGTATCGTCCGATGCAACGCAACAAAATTTTGCGTCCAGACTTGTTGCGTATCTCCACTCCACTCCATTCAGAGTATATAAACATAGAATCACAAACAGAAGAACGCACACTGGTGATGACTACACTCCAACCGTCTGGAGCTGATAAGCAAAGCGCGATGCAGCCGCCTACAGGTCCAGACTGGCACCACTGCAACCCGAGTCGTCCCTTTGATGCGACGAGAAAAGATCGCCAATCGAGCGAGCAGCCCATTGCGTATCATTTTCCAGCGGAAGGATGATACGGGGTACCGTCCACACTGATAAGATACGGGGATACGCAACAAGTCTGGACCCGGCTTAACATGTGACTTCTGACCCATTTTCATTTGACTGCCCCTGATACAATGCTTACAGTATTGTGACTATGTATCACAGGGGTAGTACGGTGATTGATGAATTGGAAGGAAGTGGCCATGGCCTAACTGAGGTACGTTGTTACTGAGTGTGTGCACCTGTTGCTGACAGTGCTCTCCAGCCACATGCTGAGAGAGTGTGACAGGACTTCTTTGAGCATAGGGATACTAAGGTAAGCAGTGTGGGTACCATAACAGATGAACCAAGTAATCTGAATCTATACTTCTTTGTCATCTGCCATGTTAATGCTACCAACCATGGCTTTCTGCTTCATGCTGGGTTCTTGCTTGCCTTGGTCTTCAACCTCTGAAATGTCAGTTGACCTTATGTGGGTTACACAGTATCAGTCCCATAAGATAGAACATATCCTCCTGCAATCCACTCTTATTAATAATTTATCAACCACCATTCCCAGTTTGAGTTTGAAAATCCTGTATTTTGTTATATTTTCATGAAATCTAACAACATTTGCATATGGTAATGAACTTTCTAGTTCCTCTAGAAAGTTATGTTGTAATTTTTATTTGCAATTGAGCTCTTCTCAGGCACACCAGTTACCTCTTAGTATTTTGTATGAGATCCTGGGAATAATAAACTCGGCCCTCTTAACATCTGACCTCGTTACTTTTGTATGAAATGGCCTGCTCTAAGTGATTTTTAGTATTGCTTTGATAGAAAAAATGCATGATTGTCTACACAGATTCAGCGGGACCTTCCCACATGTACATACCCACCGCATCAAAATTGTATTTGACTTTGCCAATTCTCTTCCTACTAGTTTCAGTGTATCTGCCCTACACAGACACCACATGTTCAGAGTTCCAAGTCTCGTGTCATTTTTCCGTCACGTCAGCGCTTATTAACTGGTGGGTTGTGTTCCACCTGATCGATTGGATGGGACATGAAATTGCAATAATACTGAGTTCAGTTACACTAAATGCCCCTTAATTGTAAGCACGTACGTTTTGTTAATACGTCTTTGTCCCAAGTTCATGGTGGGGTTCTAAATGATTCGATTGCTGGAATCTAAAAAGTGGAACTTTGAATAGGGTTGGCGGATGGGAGGGAGGTCAAGCAGTTACGCGCAACGTTTTCAAGGTGACGCTAACACGCCGAGTGATTTACGGAAGATGGCGACGGTTAGAAGGGAAGCGCAGTGTGTTTTGCGACTTGCAAAATTTGAATCCTACTCAAATACGACGTGAGTACCATCGTGTGTTTAACAAAGAACCACCAGACGAAATAGCATTCGTTGTTGGGAGAGACGGGAAGGCAACTGGACAAACAGCTTTCTGGACGAGTCAGTGGAGAATATCCGAAACAGTTTTCTCTGCAGTACGAAGAAATCAGTGCTTAAATGCACTGGAGAAAATTAAAAAATGACTGCATTTTACTGGTTGTAAACATCAGTTGTTTCATGCAGTCTGCCCAGCTGATAATAGCTAAAGGTACGATTTTGCTTACGATATTCTTAATGAAATTGACAAGGACCGGCAGTTTTTACATCGTGTAATGTTCAGTGCTGAGGGCACTTTTCATGTTCGGGACATGTCCATCGAAACAACGTAAGAATTTGGGGTAAGGAACGCTCCCATGATTTTGTTGAACATGCGCGTGATAGCGTGTGATGTGCGTGTGAGCACCATTGGCTCTCCCACCTATCGCCTGGCCCAACACTTGGCTGGCCTACTGAAGACATACACTGGCAACGGTCCACGCCACGTGAGGAACTCCATGGAATTTGTCCACACATTGGACTCTCTCCATGTTGATCCCCACGACATAATGGTCAGTTTCGATGTAGTGTCACTCTTCACCAGGGTGCCTATAAAAGATACGATGGATCTGCTAGGACGACATTTCGAAGAAAACATCTTGAGACTCTTCCGCCATGTCCTGACCACCTCATACTTCACCTTCAATGGCCAGTTCTATGAACAAACCGATGGCGTGGCGATGGGCTCGCCACTCTCTCCGGTCATCTCTAACCTCTATATGGAGGACTTCGAGGAGAGGGCACTTGACTTGGCCCCACACAAGCCCCGCTGCTGGTTTCGCTACGTGGACGACACCTTCGTCATCTGGTCACACGGTCCCGACAAGCTCCAGGACTTCCTGAACCACATAAATAGTATCAATCAGTGCATCCAGTTCACAATGGAAACTGAAACTGAAGGCCACCTACCCTTCCTGGATATAGATATTTACAGGAGACCCGACGGTTCCCTGGGCCATAGAGTGTACCGCAAATCCACCCATACTAACCTGTACCTTAACGCTGCGTCCCACCACCACCCTTCCAACAAGCAAGCTGCACTTTCAACATTGGTGCACAGGGCTAGAGCACTGTGTGATCAAGACAGCCTACAAGCGGAGTTGGTGCTCCTGAAGGATGTATTCAAGAGGAACGGATACAACAACCGGCAGATCTACAGAGTTCTCAACCGTCGGCCCAACATCAGCCGGCCTGAAGACAAACCGGGCTCAGTCGCCTTCCTTCCCTATGTCGGGACCATATTCAACCGTATCAGCAGAGTGCTGTCCCGGCACAACATCAAAGCAGTGGGTCTGCCTCCATACAAATTATCCAATTTCCTCCGGCCGGTTAAAGACAGCCTGGGCCTAAGGACACCGGGTGTATACAGTATCCCATGCGAGTGCGGGAAAGTCTATATTGGGCAGACAGGCCGCTCCGTGGACACGAGGTTGAAGGAGCATCAGCGGCACATCCGTCTCGAACATCCGGACAAGTCGGCCGTAGCTGAACACAGCATCGAACTGGGACACCGCATTCAGCTTCAGAATACCTCCATCCTCGCCACCAAGACGCGCTATATGGATCGCATCATTAGGGAAGCCATTGAGATCGAACTGCATCCAGGGAATATGAACAGAGAGGAGGGGTTTCGTCTCAGCAAGTCTTGGAAACCTCTTATCTGTTCTCTTAAAAAACCCCCACCGGGATATGACGCTAGATCCAGAAAGCCACAAGGCCATGACAAACCATCATAACAACCCCCCCCCTCAGCCTTCGGTTTAAAGCCCAGCTTTAACCTGGCTTTACACTCCCGTACACAAAACCTCGCTCACCTCGCTTGCCCCAGCGCCCTTCCCCTACCCCTCCCACACCGCTGCTTTCACTTGTATACTTGCCCTTCCCCCATTCCCTCTCTTCTGACACACAGCTGTGATTTTCCAGTCTGCTACTACCGTTCTCACGGTCTTGTCGCTTGCAGAATTCTTACACTTTTTCTTCTACCCTGAAGATGGAGGCGATACGATCCTCCGAAACGTCGGTTAACACCACATATACACGGCGCCAAATCCCAGAAGACTGCTTTCTTCATAGTCACCGCCGTGAAAGCCTCAAAAAAAATAATATGGGAGTTTAAATGTGCTGACCACAAGTGACCAACAGCCACACAAGTTGAACAAAGTCTTGCATTTAGGTTTCTGATCTTACATTTATGATGGAAGTGTGTAAATTTTATGTATTCTTTAGGGAATAATTAGATGATTCGTGAGAAATTCAGTTTCCTCACATTCTTACAAATTATGGTGTTCGTGATATAATTCCGCAGTTTCAAATTCTAGTCGGGATTCTGCTAAACTTCTCAGCGCCCGTTTTGAAGGTCATGCTTCCAGTAGAATGTACAATTTTACTGTTTTCTGCCCTTTCTCGCCTGTTCACATACCAATCCGACTTGTAAAGGAAGTCGTGAGAGCTGATGGTCTATGGTTTGTACGTATATGCAAGGCATACAAATGCATTTTTGCGGCTCTGCGTTTTAAATTTGTGGGGTAGGTTTATTGTTTCTAGGACGTAACTGTGCAGTCTGGTAGCTAGTTTCCGACGCTTTGGAAGCAAGATGCTCACACAAAATGGGTGAACTAGCTTTCTTCAGAACTGAGCAACAATCTGTAAGACTACACAACGTGTAATAAGACACTAAGCTTCATGATCACTGCATCACTGCCGGCCTCTACTGTGAGAACAAAGAAGTCAACGTCAGTGTGTTCAAAGAAATTAGTATGTTTCCTTACAGACTCGGGCAAATATTCAGAGCTCGGTACTGGTACACTTTTTAGAAATGTGATCCAACATCACTACGATTCTTGTATATTAATTAATTTTCTACCCACATGTGATAAAATAAGTTTCAAGGTTATGAAAGATTCTGCATTCTCTTGCAACGGGAATGACGAGAATTCTTCTACAGTGAGCTGAAGAAACATTTCCTGCTGTGACAGAAAGGATGGTGAGTGTTTTATGCTTGTGTGCACAGACAAGAATTTCATTGTCATCAGTCAATTGTCGTATATCTTAAGAAACTAAACTTTTTATGCCAAGGTTGTGTTAGTTTTCATAATCCATGTGGGAAGTTTACATGGTTCTTCATATTGTAACAATTTGCATTATTTTGTGGGAGGGAGATCAATTCAAGGAAGTGATATGGGTATTTTTCTGTGATGTATGTAATAAGTCATTCAGTCAGCAGAGTCATCTTAAGGCACGTGAGCGCATACAAAGTTGGGAGCAGCCATTTTGCTGTGATGTATGTAATAATTCATTCAGTGATCAGAGTAGTCTGAAGCCACACCAACGCATACATATTGGGGAGAAGCCATTTTGCTGTGACGTGTGTAATAAGTCATTTAGAAACCAGAGTCATCTGAAGACACATCAGCGCATACATAGTGGTGAAAAGCCATTTTTCTGTGATGTATGTAATAAGTCATTTAGAAGGCAGAGTCATCTGAAGACACATCAGCGCATACATAGTGGTGAAAACCCATTTTTCTGTGATATGTGTAAAAAGTTATTCATTTCAAAGTGTGAACTGAAGAAGCATATGCACATACATAGTGGGGAGAAGCCATTTTGCTATGATGTGTGTTATAAGTCATTCAGTCGGCAGAGTACTCTGAAGTCACATCAGCGCATAAATAGTGGTGAAAAGCCATTTTTTTGTGATGTATGTAATAATTCATTCAGCGATCAGAGTAGTCTGAAGATACATCAGCGCTTACATGTTGATGTGCACAGTAGATCATAGAGCAGTAGAGATGGGTTTAGCCTAAAGGAACAGTATGTGAGTTGTAGACTGCATATATAGAATATATAGAATATATTGCAGTTTATTGCTGTTGCTGACCTTTCTAACTGACGTATAATGAACTGAGTCCCATGGTACAAAACGTCCATGCAAATGAGTTCCATTTGATTCTGGCTGATGAATATGCACAAGGATCTCTTGTGTTGAGTTTAAACACACATTACATGACATGACATGATGTTCTCTTGCAGTTATGTTAATTCAGCATTGGAAGCTCATGATTAGTAGAGTGTAATCACTGAAATGGATCAACAGCTTATACATGTAATTCAGCAGTATAATATGCTTTTTGCTGTGTTATCTGTGCTCTTCTGCCATTACACGTGAGAAAATTTGTTGATCAGTAAGTTTCAGATCGATATATCGCTTGAAGATAACTGTTATGGATTGGTCAGATGAATACAGATTATGCTGTATTGGACATTGCAGACAAGATATATTTCTGCGGTATACTTGGTATATTGATTATAAAAAGAAAGTTAAATAAAGGATTGATTCTGCTTATGGAGAAATAAAGTAGTACAGAGAATTTAATTAAAAGGATCATGAAAGAATTGCTTACATCTTTTTGTTGTGAATATCAGCAGAGAAACTGAGTGGTCATGAGATCAGAAAGAAAAGTGGTTTGGTACTGAGACAGTCCTTTTTGCTTTAGGTCTCCTTTGCATTAGA